GGGAGGGATGTCAAACATTCTTCTAGCTGTTCATATCTCTAACTGTGGCTGGCCCTTACATCCAGCAGCCCATCATTAAATGCAGACCTGGCTGATTTAAGCAACTTCTGAGTTTCTGCACTGTCACCAGGAAACATGTGACTTGGTACCTGAGATATCCACTTCAGGTAGTTGTAGAGAAGAATAAAAGAACAGCACACAACAACAAAATGTAATGAACTTCCTTACTGATGTCAGGTAGAATAAGGTGTGGGAGTAAACTAAGCAGTGGCCCACACTTTAAATGCCCCACTCCCTACGCTACAAAGGTAGGATAAAAACTGAGATGATGTAAATGCCCCATCAAATTTGGGGAAGGTTGAACTGAAGCAGCCCTTTACCTAAATGGCTGAAATCAGGATTGTTATTTTTGCCATAGATTGATTGCAGATTTTCTTTCCTTGTTTGCCATGAGTTGGCCAGCTTATGTATTAAATTTATATTCCATCTTTTGTTCAGAAGTTTAAGGCAGTGTACGTAACACTCCCTCCTCCCAACTCTCCCCCCCCCCACCCCCCAACAGTGCTGTGAGGTAGGTTGGACTGAGAATGAGCAATTAGCCCAAGGCTATCCAATGAGTTTCAGTGGGTGAGGATGGACTTGAATCTGAGTCTCTTATAGCCATCCAGCACCTTAACTACTACCCCCTGCTGGTCCTCAGTTGTCTTCTGCAGTCCTTTAGTTCTTAGTTGTTGCCAGAATCTTGGGCATTTTTTTTAAAAAATTCTGTGTTATCCTATCCTTTCCTTCCCTTATCTGTGCCTTTGTTCCTTTCTCTTTTCTCTTCCATACCACTTCTGATACTAGGGAGGAATTAAATATTCTCCTCTCCACAGGGATGTAATGTGACTGTTCACCTAGAAGCTGTTCTACTCAGTATTCACCCTTTCATTATGCTCATTTTTTCCCTTAATTATCTGAATTCTCAAGTTTTTTTTAACTTAAATTCTTTATGCTTACTGTTTAAAAAAAATCTGAAGGGAGTATCTAAGCTGACCTAACTGCCTGATTTTCCTCATGTTTGGATATGTCATCCAAGCCATCATGATGCATGTACCTGATGCTGTATTCTTTCTAGGAAGGATACTCTGTGCCCTGAGAGCGTATTCCCACAACACACCTAACCCAGTCTGGAGAGAACCACAAATGAGTAGGGATCCAGTACCAGATGGTCAATGAAATTGAAGACTATCAAATATATAAGGATCAGCCATCTTTCAATGAACTCCACCCAACTTCACAATGGCTAACAGGTTATCATTTCTTGGATTTTGCTTGTGTGATGGCCAGATCAGGGTTGGATCCATGGAAGGGGAAGGCTTAGCCTCCCTCCGCTCCTCTCATTTCCCATTTGGGAATAACCCTATTTGTGAAACCTTCTAGTCTCCCTTGCCTGTGCTACCAACTAAAAGCAAAAGCTAACCTCAAGGTAATCCTTCTTCCTGGATGACGTAAGGAGCCCCAAAATAGGTAAATTAGTTTGCCCTTATTTTTAGGTATTCTGAGATTAGGTGGGCATCAATCTAACCAGACTACTAGTTTTTATATTGGATTGTTTTACATCGCCCAGAGTCGCTTTTTGTGAGATGGGTGGCCATACAAATTTGATAAATAAATAAAATTAATAAATAAATGTAAATGCCATGAAGCTTAATTGCTCCTTTCTCTGTTTTAGGCTAGAATGAAGTACAGTCTTGAAGCAGAACTGACTGCCCCTCCTATTCCCTGTTACAAGCGGCATAGAGAGAATTTGGGTTAACTATGACAGTTTTTGCTACTGCTCTCTGGTTTTGCAGGCAACTATGTGCATGCCTAGTTCATCTCCTGAAAAGGTCAGTTTTAAAATTCACTTTGTCTAGAATACCATTTATGACAGCCAGTCAAATGTTTTTGGAGCTTTACAATGCAAACATGTTCAGTGGATATTCAGAGGTATAACAAAATATTTCAATGTGGAATATTTCCTGTTTGAGACTCTAGCACTTTCATGTCATTACCTTTTGGTTTTCTGATTTTTTTCTTCCAGTATTTTGTTCTGTGGATGCCAAGCATGCTTAGTGGTTGCTGGCCAAGATTCGGGGAGAAGGAAAATGGTCCCTCTTAGGATTTCTCCTTAAAAGTTCACTTCTACAAAATTTGGGGTTCACTCAAGCCCACTTAGAATTCCCTCTGATACTATTTTTGCTCTAGAAATATTGGGGCCCGTAGCCTTTTCCCAGAAAGAGAGGAAGGTATACTGCTTCTAGATATAGAGAGTCTGTTTACCTATCAGGGTTAATGAACATTGATAGCTCTTGTCTAATTCTAAAGCCACAGGGTGCTTTGCTTGTGTACGGCTTAGCATGTTGTATGGTCCCAGCCAGTGTGGTTTGTAAGCCCTGGTTTATGATTTAGTCTGTTGTATAAACCTGGAAAATTGTGGTTTATTCAGTAAACCATGATCAAGCAAACTATAGCATATCATACTTTGTGAGCCCAGCCTTTCTGTTGCATGAATAAATACTTTCCTGTCATCTTCAATCCTCCAGCTAACTTTCCCAGTGTTATAAAGTTGTGTGAAATCTTAGCTGCTTCACATGTTCTGACTGCTGATCTTTTGTTTGGATTTTAGGTGCAGCAGATACCTACAGAGAATATTCACAAGTAAAATTTGTGGTATTGTAATGTCTGCATGTGTGTGTTCTAAAAAAACCTTTCATAATATGAACAGATTCATTTTATTAAGTCATACTTGACATTTTGTTTAGATAACCGAAGTGTTTGGGGTGAAACTGATTTGCTTGCTTTCTGTGCAAAAGAATGGAAAGAAGAAACAGAACAGGCAAAACAAATGAGAGAGGTGAGCTGCCAAGCACAAAACTGAGTTGTTTTCTGTGACTGGACAAACAAAATGTCTTCCATGTTAGGGCAACAGTGACATCTCAGATATCAGACTGAAAGTTGCTATTTGCAATCATAACCCAATCTTGTCTTCTATACTGAAATTATATGTTAACCTCAAAACTATTTTCAAAATGGGGAGAAAAATGTATACGTGTTGAAATGCAGTATAACACAGAATTTTTTTAAAAAAATGCTACCCCTACTTATTATTCACATAACACAGAATTTTTTTAAAAAAATGCTACCCCTACTTATTATTCACATAACACAGAATTTTTTTAAAAAAATGCTACCCCTACTTATTATTCACATAACACAGAATTTTTTTAAAAAAATGCTACCCCTACTTATTATTCACATAACACAGAATTTTTTTAAAAAAATGCTACCCCTACTTATTATTCACATAACACAGAATTTTTTTAAAAAAATGCTACCCCTACTTATTATTCACATAACACAGAATTTTTTTAAAAAAATGCTACCCCTACTTATTATTCACATAACACAGAATTTTTTTAAAAAAATGCTACCCCTACTTATTATTCACATAACACAGAATTTTTTTAAAAAAATGCTACCCCTACTTATTATTCACATAACACAGAATTTTTTTAAAAAAATGCTACCCCTACTTATTATTCACATAACACAGAATTTTTTTAAAAAAATGCTACCCCTACTTATTATTCACATAACACAGAATTTTTTTAAAAAAATGCTACCCCTACTTATTATTCACATAACACAGAATTTTTTTAAAAAAATGCTACCCCTACTTATTATTCACATAACACAGAATTTTTTTAAAAAAATGCTACCCCTACTTATTATTCACATAACACAGAATTTTTTTAAAAAAATGCTACCCCTACTTATTATTCACATAACACAGAATTTTTTTAAAAAAATGCTACCCCTACTTATTATTCACATTAAAGTATCCTGTGAAATAGGTTGGGCTTAAATAAGTGAGATTCCGTGGGTGAATAATAAGTAGGGGTAGCTTCTAGAACAATTAAGTAAACTTGTTTTATTTTTAGTGATCTTCTAAGGTCTCCCTGAATTAATACTGAGATTGCCCTCCTGTGTCCCAGTAAGGTTTTGACTGTGTTCCTGTTGGCATTCCCCAGTTTAATTTTCTGTTTTTGTTTAATTTATTCTGACTTACTACATACTAACCTTGTGAAAATAATTAATTGGGAATTGCTTTGTGAGCTGGTATCATGGCGTGAAAAGTGTGTAATTTTCTAAATTCATTAACTGAGCAGTTTGAAAGGGAACATGATGTTAACTGATAAATATTTTTCCTACTGTTAATTAAAGGACTGTTTGCTACACTGTACATCTTTTTACATCTGAAATCATCAGCAGAGGCTAACATTAACAACAGGGGTATATTAAAAGGGGGTGACATAGGGTACAGCCTAATCAGGAGAATAGTTAAAGTTTGGAATTCCTTTCCCTAGGACATTACGAACATTGTAATACTCTTTGAAAATGTTTTTTTGTTCAGAGCCATTTTTCCTTGTTTTTGAAAATGTACTGCTGCCTTTCTGTTTTGGTTTGTTGCTCAGGTTTTATGAATCCTTTTATATATCTGTAGTATATGGATGAGGTATTTTGCTATTCTGGATTTTAATTTGAATACTGCCTCGAAAAATCTGTTTGGAGAAAAGTAGTATTAAATAAATCACTTTAAGGCTGATCTCTTGGACAAGCAAATCACTAATGTTAATAATCCCTGACCTATCCATTAGTCTGACCTGCAGGCCTTAGGATCACTGACTATGACTACAGCACAGTAGTTGAACTCCACTAGTGAAATAATTCCCAATACTTTTGTTCCCATGTTTTCAAGTCTTGAGGCAAATTGAGTTTACATTCTGATCTAGACCCTATATACAGTAGATGCTAACCACATGTGACCTGTTCAGCTTCCATTTCCAAACAGAGAAGCCTGCTTCAGGTTCCAGAAAAACTCAGTATTTCTTCCTATTCAGTATCCATAAGGAAAGATCCCCTCCCCCAAATGGAACATATCTAAGTAGCTCTGAAGCT